ATGCGTGTGTGTGTGTGTGTGTGTGTATGAGGAAAAAATTGAATGAGATGACAGTTGTTAGGAAATTTTCATCCTTGCAAATGTATATTTTAAAAATCTGGTCATTTTCAACCTGAACATTTTTTCAATTTGAACATTACTCTTAACCAGTACCTGTACACTTTTACAATGTTATGATTCAGGTTTGTAATGATGACCCAATATAGCTTCTGAATCATAGCAAAATTATTAAATTAGGGTATATTTTTATTATTTGCATACTGATAATCTGTTCTGTTTTATTTTTAAACATTTCTAGATTAACTTTATTAAGGTATCCAACCTCAGGCTCATTCTTTGACCATCTTTGATAACATAGAGTTTACAGTTAACAGAAATAAAAAAAACCCAATAGCTGATAAATAAATTTAAGACTCATGCTAAATACCTGAACATTGAGGTTTAGAAAAAAACAAAAAATACCATGCTATTATAGCAAGAATGTCCATTGCAAAATAATTGTAATCTAACCAAAATTTTTACAAATGCTACACAACTCTAATAAATATAAGAATTTTTCATATTCTATAGTGAGAAAGAATCACAACGAAGCATGAACAAATATATCTTCATTTCTAATTTGATACAATATGGTCTGTTGGTGTCAGCAAGACAGAAAATGTTAAGAGAGGATAATACATTTAACTACCAGCAAAAGGTTACTGTGAGGACTAAATAACAACAAAATGGGTTTAAAACATTTATCATACTTCCTGGTCCATAGATCCCCAAACATTGCCCATTGTTATTATTTATTAGTTAGAAGATCTTAAGAAGACATTTCTATCAAAGTCAATAATTATAATTTGCTTCAATATACTGCTTAACTCTGTGCCAGGCAATGTTCTAGGTGCTTCTCACACGTAAAATTTTAATATTCTTACTACAACCCTAGAGGTAAATACTATTATTATACTCATTCTACAGATGAGAAAGCCAAGGAATAGCATGCTTCAATCACTTGCTTAAGATCCCCTGGTTAGATAGTGGTAGAGTGGGGATTCAAACCCAGAAACTAAGCTTTCAAAGTCTGTGCTCTTTACATATGCAGTTAATGAGTCAGACAAGAACCAATAAGAGATGGGGAATGGAGGGTAGAAAGGGCACAGGTTCAAGGTGAACAGGTCCAAAATCAGAAATCAAAAGTTTGGGTTTGTCTAGCAGCTTAAAGGCAGCATCACGAACTGTTCGCCCCACAGATAAGCTATTTTTAAATGAGTGATAAGCTTGCAAGTAAACTTACAAGCAAATTGGGAAAATGTTCAATAGATGACTGAGTGAACAGGTCTGGTCTTTCGTCTTTTTTCCAGATTAGTCACTTGGCTCTCCCACCCAGGCACTCTGCCTGCAAAACGGAATCCACCGGCCAACAAAGATGGACCCGAAGGGGTTAAATGCCAGGGCGGGGAGAGTTGAGGCGAAGAGAATTATGGGAGCGCCGTTCTAGCCCGTGGGCGCTTGGGAAATGTCCAGTGCGCTTCTTTATCATGGCCGACCCTAAGTGAGGGCGGCCGGCGGGTGAGGGTTTGGCCACTGCCGCTGCTCTCCGAGGCCGCAGGGCGGGAGCCGTCGACCGCCGCTGGGAGAGCGAACGAGGCGGAGGTTTGTAGCACTTATGTGCTGAGGGTGTAGGCACGTCCTGCTTCCAGCCGCGCAGCTAGAAGGGAACGGAAGTGAAGGAGGATGAGGAGTCGGGGGGAGCTGAGAGGCTGACGGACCTGGCGGCGCGAACTGATTGCGTAGCTGTAGGCTTAAGGGGGGAGTGTTCTGTGTTTGTGTTGTTGAGATGTGTGAATCTTCTGATTATTTGTAGTTGGGGACAGGCGGAGGCTATGGGGAAGCCGGCGGACAGATAAATTGAGGGTAAAATCAGGGCGAAAACGTGCTGTAGACTAGGCACTAACACATCTGAGTCGCACCTCTACGGGATGATTTTATTGGAGTAATCAGAGTCCCTGGTTTCACATTCTGCTGTTAATGGGTTGATTGATTTCCTTTAACCAATTACCAAGTACCTGCTCTGTGCTGGGTAGAGGGGCTCTGGAAATCGACTTTTGCGGACTGCCAGTTGCTATCTGTATTTGGAGACAGGCAACACAAGAAGATAGAAATAGATACATAATATGTTGTAAAAACCTGAGGGCCACCGAACTCACCTGGGTGTGGGATCTGAAATGGTTCTTTGATGTGATTTAACATATATTTTTAAGATAAACGGGGCAGAACTATGCAGTTTTCCTCCAGGAATGTTCCCTCCCTGGTTAGCTCAAGTGCAGCTACTTGGAGAACTGAGTAGCACTTAAGGCCCAAACTGATTTATTCCTGGTGAGAGCATTTGTCCGTCACCATACCACTTCCAGGGCCCCTCTTCTGTGAGAGTCAGTCTTACCTGAGAGCAAGGTTTCCAAGCCTACAAGCTCTGGGTAGGACTACAGTGCAGAACGCACAGGCTCTCTGGTCTAAGCATCTGAAACACTTCTGTACCAGTTATTTAGTTTTACAGCAAAGTCAGTTCACAGCAGGGCATTGTACACCTGTAAGAAATCCTAAGCAATCTTTTAAAGCTTCTGAATCATCAAACCTGCTGCTTTGTTTTCCAGAGAAACAAGAGTATAGCAGACGTTCCAAGTCCATCGTTCTCAAACTTTACTGTGAACCAGAATCAGCTGGAGTGCTTGTTAAAACAGATTGCCAGTCCTGTCCACAGAGTTGCCTATACAATTGGTCAGGGGTGGGCCCCCAAATTTACATTTCTAACAAGTTCCCAGGAGATGCTGATACTGGTGGTCTAAACAGCTAACATTAGTAAACCTGAAAGGATATTTCCTATAGGGAAGCCTAGGCACACTCCTCAAGGTCAGGCATATCTGAATTAAGTCACAGTGGGTATAAAATAGAATGAATTTTTGACACTGCATAGAAAATATTGTTTATATTTGCATTGTTGTATATTGAAAATTATAATTGTATATATTTATAGGGTACAAAGTGATGTTATGATATATGTATACAATATGGAATGATTATTATTATTATTATTTTTGAGACAGAGTCTTGCTTTGTTGCCCAGTCTAGAGTGAGTGCCATGGGTTCAGCCTAGCTCACAGCAACCTCAAACTCCTGGGCTCAAGCGATCCTCCTGCCTCAGCCTCCCGAGTAGCTGGGACTGCAGGCATGTGCAAACATGTCTGGCTAATTTTTTCTATATATATATTAGTTGGCCAATTGATTTCTTTCTATTTATAGTAGAGACGGGGTCTCGCTCTTGCTCAGGCTGGTTTCGAACTCCTGACCTCAAGCAATCTGCCTGCCTTGGCCTCCCAGAGTGCTAGGCGTGAGCCACGGCGCCCAGCCATGTATACAATATGGAATGATTAAATCAAAGTAACATATCCATCACCAAAATACTTATAATTTTTTGTGGTGCTAACATTTGAAATTACTCTTTTAGCTATTAATATTTTCAAATACCACCATTCTATTCTCTGCTTCTGTGAGTTCCATCATTTTAGATTCCACATGTAAGTGAGAATATTTGCTATCTTTCTTTCTGTGCCTGGCTTATTTCACTTACATAATGTCCTCTAGGTTCATCCATATTGTCACAAATGACAGAATTTCTTTCTTTTTTAAGGTTGAATAATATTCCATTGTGTGCATATATGGCACATTTTCTTTATCCCTTCATCCATTGATGGACACTTAGGTAGCTTCCATAACTTGGCTATTGTGAATAATCCGACAATGAACATGGTAGTGCAAATATCTCTTTGACATACTGTTTTCAAATCCTTTGGATATATACCCAGAAAGTGGGATTGCTGGATCATATGGTAATTCTACTTTTACTTTTTGGGGGGAACCTCCATATAGTTTTCTACAATGGCTATACTAATTTACATTCCCACCAAAAGTGTACAAGGGTTTCCTTTTCTCCACATGTTCACCAACACTTGTCTTTTTGATAATAGCCATTCTGACAGGTGTGAGGTGATAAATCATTGTGGTTTTAATTTTCATTTCCCTAATTGTTGGTGATGTTGAGCATTTTTTCATGTCTCTTGGCCATTTGGGTATCTTCTTTCAATAAATGTCTATTCAGGTCTTTTGCTGACTTTTAAATCAGGTTATATGTTTTCTTGCTATTGAGTCATGTGAGTTCCTTATATATTTTGGATATTAACCCTTAATCAGATGTATGGCTTACCAATATTTTCTCCCAATATGTAGGTTGTCTCTTCACCTGTTAATTGTTTTCTTTGCTGTGCAGGAGCTTTTTAGTTTGATGTAATCCCATTTGTCTATATTTGCTTTCCTTGTCGGAGCTTTTGGGACCCAGATCAATGTCCTATAATAGTTTTTTACCTCTGTTTTCTTCTGCTAGTTTTAAAGTTTCAGGCCATACATCTAAGTATTGAATCAAATGGATTTGTTTGTGTTGTTTATGTATTTTGGATGGTTGAGCAAAGATCGTATTCCTGAACTAAAAGTAAATCTATTTTTCTTAAGTTGTAGGTGTCACAGTGCCTTGTACCATAAATTGTTTAAAAACACTAAGTAGCTATTTTCTATTTGCATCCCTTGCTGATTTATATTCAAGTAGCTAGTTATTGACAATGGAACTCGCATCTCCCACTTGTGTCATCAACAAAAAAATTGAGGTGTTGCTGATTTCTGTTAATAAATTATGTTTGAAGTTAAAAAAATAAAAAGACAAGGCCAGGTGGGGTGGATCACACCTGTAATTCTAGCACTCTGGGAGGGTGAGGCAGGAGGATCGCTTGAGCTCAGGAATTTGAGACCAGCCTGAGCAAGAGCAAGACCACAGTGCTCTACCAAAAATAGAAAAAATTAGCCAGGCTTGGTGGGGCATACCTGTAATCTCAGCTACTCAGAAGGCTGAGGCAGGAGGATCACTTGAGCCAAGGATTTGGAGCTTCCAGTGAGCTCTGATGATGCCACTGCATGCTAGCCTGGGCAACAAGAGTGAGACCCTGTCTCAACAACAACAAATTAAAAAAATAAAAAGACTGTTGTGACAATGTAATTGACAGAGAATGATTAGTTTTAAAAGTCAGAATCGAGATGGTATCGTAGGTAGTTTTTTGACTCACTGTCAACAAAACCACTCCCTTAGAAGAAATACATTAATGCACTGCATAATGACATTTCAGTCAACAATGGACCACATATATAATGGTTGCCCCATAAGATTATAATGGAGCATATTTAGAACCCTGATATATGGCACTCGATATTGGCATTGCAAATAAAGTAGGGGAAATGATTGATATTCAGTAATGGTTCTGGGACACTTGGTTTTCCATGTGAGAAAATATATACAAATAAAAATATATACCATTTAGGTTTGTGTGAGTACACTCTATGATGTTCACAGAATGGTGAATTGCCTAACTGTGCATTTCTCCAAACATATACTTGTAATTAAGCCATGCATGACTGTAATAATTTATTTACTCTAGAACACAGAATCAGAAATCCTATTGTGCCAGAGCTAAATTTGATGCCTTCCTTTAGGGATTGGCCCTATAAACATTCTCCTAGAGGGTGGCAGTTCACAGTTATACCTACTCTTCAAACCCCTTCCCATGAGCCTAGCCCGTGGGCGCTTGGGAAATGTCCAGTGCGCTTCTTTATCATGGCCGACCCTAAGTGAGGGCGGCCAGCGGGTGAGGGTTTGGCCACTGCCGCTGCTCTCCGAGGCCGCAGGGCGGGAGCCGTCGACCGCGGCTGGGAGAACGAACGAGGCGGAGGTTTGTAGCACTTATGGGCTGAGGGTGTAGGCACGTCCTGCTTCCAGCCGCGCAGCTAGAAGGGAACGGAAGTGAAGGAGGATGAGGAGTCGGGGGGAGCTGAGAGGCTGACGGACCTGGCGGCGCGAACTGATTGCGTAGCTGTAGGCTTAAGGGGGAGTGTTCTGTGTTTGTGTTGTTGAGATGTGTGAATCTTCTGATTATTTGTAGTTGGGGACAGGCGGGGGCTATGGGGGAGATTATTTGTGGTTCGGGACAGGCGCTGGCTATGGGGAAGTCGGCGAACCAAACATCCGGACGTGTAAAACAACAGAAAGTCCAAACTGGCCTGAGTCTATTATGAGTCTTTGCAGGGGCGAGCAAGATGTTAGGATGCTCAATCCCTTGATGTTTCAGAAATCTGTTATCCATCACACCCACATTCCAAGGAAGTCAGCAGGACACTCACACATAGGACTCTTGAAAATTAATCAAATGTCACACATAGTTGGTGAGCCTCATTTATGCTCATGTACTTGTTAATAGAAGAAAGCCAAAATCTGTAAAATAATTTTAAAGATATTTATTCTGAGCCAAATTTGAGGACGGTGACCCAGAGCCACCCCCAAGAAGCCTTGAGCAAGTGGACTTGCTGTGGCTGGGTTACAGTTTGGTTTTATACATTTCAGGGAGACAGGGGTTACAGGTAAAGTCATAAATCAGTACATGGAAGGCATACATTGGTTGGGCCCATAAAGGTGGGCCATCTTGAAGGAGGGGAGCTTACAGGTTATAGGTGGGTTTAAATATTCTTTGACTTGTAATTGATTAAAGACATGAGGCTTTGTCTAAAGGCTTGGAATGTTTTAAGATACGCAGCCATTAATCAGAGACAAGCCACCTGGATATATATTTGTTGTGTAAATTCAGGACCTGCAGGTTTGTCTTGCATACCCTTAGGCCTGTTAATGGGTTACAAAGAATGTCTCCAAGAAGGGAGGGTGGTATGATGAGGCAAGTCTGACCTCCCTCCTCGCCTGACAGGCAATTTAGTTTTAGGGTATCCCCTTGGCCAAGAGGGGGTCCATTCAGTCAGCTGGTGAGGGGTGAGCCTTAAGATTTTATTTTAGTTCACATGCTTATTCCTTCCCACCACACTAGTCCTCATCTCTACTTAATCCATACCTAGTCTTACAGGCAGTATCATTTTCTATGAAATGTGAGGAGATAAAACAAATCTACGAAAGTTTGAACCCTGCAGTTCTATGTCCTAAACGATTTCTAAGTAGAAATGATTTAGTTTTGTTTCATAAACATTGACTATCTCAGGGACCCTGAAAGTAGACAGATGGTTGTTAAGGAGAATTTGGGGCCATGTGTTTCAAAGCAACAAACACATGATTACTCCAGAATTCTAGTTCAGATGAGATTGTTTCTAGTCCACCTTTTCTGCTTGCAACAGATGATTCCTTAAACAACTTTGAATCAGTATGTGTGTCTGACCTGCAGTGGGGTGGGGTTTCTGGTTTGGCACTGAACTGCCAGGCTATGGAGGTCAGTGTTTTATGTGGAACAGTTTTTGAGGATAAGAGTCCTTGCATCAAGTGAAAACTGTAAAGGAATGTGGGGGGTTACTTATCATAATTAATGTCACATTTTTTTCTTTGCAAACCAAGATTAAGAGAAAAATGAAGAACACACTATGATGAGGAGGAGGCAGCAGCAGCGGCAGCAGGAGTATGTTCTAGAAGCTGGTATCTACAACTGAAGAGCCAGATGTCCTGTGCGTACCTGTTGATTTTCCCATGGCAGAGGCTTAAGCACCCCATATGTTTGAAGCCAGGTTGCCCTTAGGTCCTGTGACTATGCTTGGGACAGGGCAGCTGTTGCTACTGTTACTGGGATAACCTTTCTGCACTTGGTAAGGTGATAAGGAAACCTGGGGGACTGGCTCTCATATATATATATACACACATATATATACACACGCATATATATTTAATATATATATTTTTAACTATAGAGCATTTTAATAGCTTCTGGCAGTCTAAGGAATTTATATAATTGTCTTCCAAAACTGCAGTGTAAAAGAGCCAAATCCAAAGTCTAACTGAAAGCTGGAGTTCAGGGGATTGGAAATGACCTCAGCCAGAAATATGTTCTCTAATTCAAAGTCCTTAGAAGAGTTGTCAGTGCCCTCTACCCAAACACCACCAGGAACACACCTGTGGTTGAATGGGTTGGGTTGATTACTCAGTGCATCACATCGAGGGAGAATGCACACCATGGGGAACCGTAGAGCCTTGCAGAGGGACTTATTATAGGATTTGAACCTCTGTTAGGTGAATTTGGGGAGGATTTAAGGAAGCGAGGCTTTGCTCTGGATTGGGCTCTGTTAGGAAATGTGGGTAATTCTCCGGTTGAGTATCTTAATGAATCTTATCCAAAAGGAGGATAGACTAGGAGGAGGCTAATTGGTAAACTAGCAACAGTCACTGTTAGGATAGGAGGATGTTTGGTCATTTTTGTGGTTTGGCCAAAGTTCATGTTTTGTCTTTTCAGACATAATTGTGCAGTGGTCTTGCTTTTTTCTTGATCATAGTGGTCACGTAGTATCCTTGTCTGATGTTGGTGGTCTGTGAAATTGTTTATGTTCTTCAGGAGAACATTGAGGCCTAGGTGTGAGTGCCAGGCCAGCTGCCACATGCCACTGGCTGCTTTTCTCCTCAGAGTGACCAGTGCTGAGTCTAGCAGCCTGTAAGAGGCTAAATTCCCTTTCTGCCAGGAGCCATTAATAGCAGAGAAATGGTCAGATGTGCTGAACAGGACAGCTTGGGGCTGGATGTGGAAGAAAGTACCTATTAATAGTTACCTTCTAACAGAGCTTAGGAGCCTCAGTTAAAATATTAATCACCTGAGGTGGTTTTACCTTAAAAATTGAGATCAGAGTATACTTAAGCAAGAGAAGTACATGGTAGTATGTGGCAGGTTGTATTTTTCAAAGATGGCCACAACAGGCCGGGTGTGGTGGCTCATGCCTGTAATCCTAGCACTCTGGGAGGCCGAGGCAGGCGGATTACTCAAGATTAGGAGTTCGAAACCAGCCTGAGCAACAGCGAGACCCCATCTCTACTATAAGTGGAAAGAAATTAATTGGCCAACTAATATATCTAGAAAAAATTAGCCGGGTATGGTGGCACATTCCTGTAGTCCCAGCTACTCAGGAGGCTGAGGCAGTAGGATTGCTTGAGCCCAGGAGTTTGAGGTTGCTGTGAGCTAGGCTGACGCCATGGCACTCACTCTAGCCTGAGCAACAAAGTGAGACTCTGTCTCAGAAAAAAAAAAAAAAAAAAAGATGGCCACAACAGTACCTCCCATTCCACACTCTCTTCTATAATGTGACCTTGCCACACTTCTATTGAGAAGTACAGATGTTCCTTCTGCTTTGAATCTGGGTGGACTTTGATTGTACTAACCAATAGAATAGGGGAAAATGAAACCGTGACTTCTGAGGGTAGGCCATAAGAGACAATGCAGCCTCTACCTTACCTGCAGGGACATTCACCCTTAAAGCCCTGAGCTGCCATGTAAGAAGTCCATTACCCTGCGCTTGCCATGCTATGAGAAGGCCCACGCCTAAGGTGAGGCCACCTGTAGGTCCTCTGATTAGCAGTCCTCACTGAGGTTCTAGCTCAGGCATCCTCACGAGCCACATGCGGGTGTTTTTGCCTGTTTGTTTTTTTTACTTCAAAATAAGATATGTGCAGTGTGCATAGGAATTTGTTCATAGTTTTTTTTAAACTGTACTCCACCCCTCCAACGGTCTGAGGGACAGTGAACTGGCCCCCTGTTTAAAAAGTTTGAGGACCCCTATAATAATAGCCAACATCAGCCAGTAGCCTGTATGTGAAGAATCCTCTTCAGAGGTCCCCACCCTTTTTGGCACCAGGGAGCGGTTTCATGGAAGACAGTTTTTCCACAGACAGGGGGTGGGGGTGTGGGGTGGGTTGTGTGGAGGTCAGGTGGTGATGAGCAGCCTGTTTCCTAACAGGCCATGGACCGGTAATGGGCTATGGCCTGGGTGTTGGGGACAGCAACTCTAGATGATTATAGCCCTCAGCCATCCAGTCTTCCCGTCTGAGGCCCCAGACATAGATCAGAAACAAGCCATTTCTGCTGTGCCCTGTCTCGGTTCTTGAACCACAGAATCCGAGAGCAAAATAAAGCGATTGCTTTATGCCACCAAGTGTTGGATTGGTTTATTATAGAGCGATAGAAACCCAAATTGTGATAGGAAGTTTTGTGAAGGATTGGAGTAAAAGGAGCAAGGATCAAGGAAGGGAAAACAGCTAGTAGACAAAGCATTTAGTTTTGCTGCTGCCAAGGGGCTCTTTGGTCCCAGAGACTTCAGAATGAGCAAAAGTGGACAATAGAGAGAAAAGTGGAAAGAGAAGTTGCCCAGCATATTACATGAAACTTCTGTAGATAATTGTACCTCCTTTTAAAATGAGATCTTGAACTATTTAATTATTTCTTTAACTGAATGTCTTAATTAAAAGTAACCAGTGTGTGGAGTTTTTTTGTAAGTAAAAAGTAGTAATAATAATATGGGCAAACTATTCAGTGTTTAATATTATAGTTGCTGTTGCTGACAAGCCTTTGAAGCAATCTCATTAATCATTTTCAGTCAATTATCTTGAGTTATTTATAAAAAATTATTTCTACTTTGCTGTGGTCATATGAATGCTTGCTTCAGTATACTTCATTTGAGGTGTTTACATATGACATTTTGATGGTGTTAGTATTGAAACTCTGTGAAAACTTTTAGCTCTTCAAGCTTCCTTGGTAATAGTATTTAGGTACCAGAGGCTAACGGGACATTGCTTACCTCTATCTAATTGTGTGAGGGGAAAACACAAATGTTATTTCCAATGACGTGTATAAGAATTTCATTCTTTTGATCTGGCAGAATCCAGTTCACTTTTAAAGTCTCTGTATGTGTCCACATTTTATATACATCAGTATCTGTTGCTAGGTAACTCATTCTATCTGTAGGTAAGAAGTCCTACTACTATTGGGATTGTTTAATTAGTGAGCACTCAGAGATAGTGGTTATAAATGTTGAGTACAACCGCCAACTGACCTTATGGTTATGGGCCTAGATACAAAATGTCTCAGTCTCTTGTTTTATTATAAAAATTCATGTGAATTTCTAGAGTTTTGATTATTTACGCTTGTGTTTTCTTTTAAGCATTTTATATTTTTATCTCTTTTACATTTATGTCTTTGTTCTGTTTTCGGGTAAGTTTGGCATATTGTGTGGAGTAGGAATCCAACTTTCTTTTCCTGGTGGAGATCCAGTTGTCCCAGCAACTGTCTTTTACAGCTTACTATGATTGTGAGGCTTCTAGTTGTCCAGGTTATCACTGAGCAGGGGAGGGGGGATGGGAATTGGGCAGGTTAAAAGGCCACAAAGATTAAGGGTCCTTACCAAGATTCAGTTATTTTCTTGAATAAATGCTCCTCAGGTTGCTCTAAGCTTTGGGCTAATTTCCAGAGTATTGAAAAAGTTGATTTTAAACCATTTTTGCCAGTGTTCTTATTGCTGTTTTCGAGGAGTTTTTGGAGGTTCTTACTCTGCCATTCTAAAAGTCCCTACTCATAGGATTTTGTTCTTTTTAGAGCAGGCATCATCAAACTATGGCCTGTGGGCCACATGCGGGCCACCTAGCACATTGATCCAGCCCTCCAGGTGTTTTTGCCGCCGCTGCCTGGCCTGCTTAGCAGCTGAGTCGTCCTGGGCCCACAGTACACACTCTCCAACGGTCTGAGGGACAGTGAACTGGCCCCCTGTTTAAAAAGTTTGAGGACCCCTGATTTAGAGTGTACTCAGTTCTCTATATGAAATAATAATCTTGATGAATGTGGATATTTGGGTCAGAACTTCTTAGCAGTGGGTAGGATTTAGACTGGCCAATAAAATGCTTTAAGGTGGACTTTTCTGGTGTCTTCAGGACTCTGAAAGACTATCCTCGGGCTAAGGCTATGCTGTGTTCATGAGCAGGCCAGTGGGTGAGAACTATAAGCATCTAGTGAGATAAGGTTGTTATTGCCCCTGCCAGACTATTTCTATGCACATAGACATATGAAAACATCTGGAGATATGTTTGAGCTAAATTTTTCCCCCAGAGATGGGTCACCAACTCCTTCTACTATTGGCTATATTCCCCAGAAAGTTTATTAGACTTGGGCCTTTTCTTTAGAAGGTATTTGTAAGAGACCAATGTTAAAAGGTGGAAACTGGAGAGATCAGGGAAGGCTTCCTGTAGGAGGCATGTATTTTGGCTTGGTCCTATAAGAGTGGATGAGAGTTGATTAGTTGAAGAAAATGGGTGGTGAGTAGCAAGCAGTTCAATGTAATACACATCATTGAGATATCTGTAATTAATTCCCTCCACTGAGGCACTATAAGAATAAATTCCAGGATTATTCTTGGGAGAAAGGCAGAGACTGTGCAATGATTAAAAAAAAATGAGGGGAGGCAGCATATCATAGTGGTCAGAAACTCAAAACCTCATATCAGATAACTTAAATTCAAATCCCAGATCTTCTGTTTATTAGTTGTATGACCCTGGGCAACTTAACCACTCTGGTCCTATTATCTTTATCTGTGAAATGGTAATACCTGTACCTGCCTCCCAGGAGTGGTGAGAAAATTAAATGAGATAATGCATTAATAGTGCAAAGCACAATACCTTGCACAGAGTTAAGTGTTCACCAAAA